CTTCCGATCTTTTTTTTTTGGGGGGAGAGGTTTTTGCTATAGGATACATGTGCTTGCCAAAAAGACAGAGAGACAGAGAGACAAACGCAAGAAATCACCCCCATCACCCCTCAGGGGGGATGACCACGCCGCAATCCCTATGCGCCCAGCATGAGTTTAAGCCACCGGGTCTGGGACTTGAACCACGGGCGACTACATGGGTCCAGCGACATAGCCATTACACCAACTGCTGGTCCCTATAGCAAATATTTTTTAAAAAAAGAAAAAAAATTCTTCATGAGAGCTAAAGACAAGCACCCTCAACAGGGTGTCGTGCCATGACTCTTCCCCACCCTACAAGTCTTTCACTGAGCGGGATCACAGGCAGGAAGGAACACACCCGATGTGTACACCCAGGTTAACCTGGGGACCAAACCTTGATCTTCTAGATGTCTTCCAGCTCTGCAAAGCATTCTACTATCGCTGCGCTGTTGTAGCTGAGCCAATTTCCCCTCACTTTCTATTTTGACAGTTTTCAAACCTACACAAATTTTTTTAAAGATTTAATTTTACTTACTATTTTTAAAATGTGTTCACCAGAGAGAGACTGGAGTGGGTGGGGAGGGGTTGAGAAAGCAAGCCACCAGGTCTGGAACTTGAACTGCAGTTGGGTGGGTGGGGAGAGGTTGAGAAAGCAAGCCACCAGGTCTGGGACTTGAACTGCAGTTGGCCATATGAAAGTCCTAACCACCACACCAACTGCTGGCCCCGCTACACAAAATTGTAAAAATACCATAAACTTGGGACCAGCAGTTGGCGTAATGGCTGTGTCACTGGATTCCCATGTAGCAGACTGTGGTTTGAGTCTCGGACCTGGTGGCTTAAACTCATGCCGGGCACATGTGTGTGCGTGCCCAAGATTCTGACAAGAGAATGGAGGAGAAAGGATTGCGGTGTGGTCATCCCCCCTGGGGGGTGATTTCTTGCTTTCTGTCTCTCTTGTCTCTCTTCTTCTGGTGAGCACACATGCTCTATGGCAAAACCTCTCAAAAAAAAAATATATATATATACCATAAACTCCCATATACATCACCTTGATTTGCATTTTAGCCCCTACGCTTTTTTTTTTTTAAGAATTATTTTATTTAAATTTATTTATTTATTTAAATTTGACCAGAGAGAGAGAAGGAAAGTGAGAAAGCAAGCTTCCAGGTCCAGGACTTGAACCACAGTCGGCCATGTGGAAGTCCAGCACCCTTAGCCACCACGCCACCTGCCGGCCCTCTTTAGGCCTTTTTATAGTAGACACAGAAGACCAAATTCCCATCCTTCATTATTTAGAATAACTGTACAATTCAGGGTTGTGATGAATTAAAATACCAGATAAGGTCGACAGGAAAGACAATGGTAGCATAATGGTTGTATTCGTGTTATTTGTATTAGGTCCAGGTCCAGGCCTCAAACTATGGTCAGCCATATAGGAGTCCAACGTCCTTAACCACCATGCTAACTGCCAGCCAGCCCCTTACTCATCATTTTTAATATTTGACTAGAGAAAGAGAGACAAAGCGAGAAACCAAGCCACCAGGCCCAGGACTCAAACTGTGGTCAACCATGTGGGAGTCTAGCACCTTAACCATCATGCCACCTGCTGGCCCTTATAGATATATTTTTTTTTCTTTTTTTGAGAGGTTTTTGCTATATGGTGCGTGCGCTCGCCAGAGAGACAGAGAGAGACAGAGAAATAGAAAGTGAGAAATCACCCCCTGGGGGGATAGCCACACCGCAATCCCTTCTCCTCCATTCTCTTCTTGGGATCTTGAGCACGCAAGCACATGCACCCGGCGTGTGTGTGCGTGAGGTTAAGCCACCAGGTCCAGGACTCGAACCATGGTCAACTACATGGGAGTCCAGTGACAAAGCCATTGTGCCAACTGCTGGCCCCCTCTTTTTTTTTTAAGAATTATATTTTACTTTATTTATTTTAATTTGACCAAGAGAGGGACAGAGAGAGAGCGAGAAAAAGTGAGAAAGCAAGCCACCAGTTCTGGGACTCAAACCATGGTTGGCCATGTGAGAGTCTAACACCCTTAACCACCACGCCACCTGCCGGCTCCAGCCCCTCTATTTTCTATTTTAAAACTTGAATACTGAAATACTGTAAACTTTAAAAATCTTGAAAATGCAAGGTTGACTTTATAAAATAATCCTTAGAGACAAATCTGTAAGAAGATTTGTCTGAGATACGTGAAGTTTTTTTCCAGTGGAAAAGATTCAAATCATACAAGCGGCTCCTTACTCCACAGACTCTAGATTCCTCTGAGTTATATTATTTGAGGAAAGACTTTCATTTTCTTTCTTTGTCAACAGTGTCTCTGTGAGAAAATCTGACCTGGGGCCAGCAGGTGGTATAGTGGTTAAGGCGCTGGACACTCAACATGGCTGACCGCAGTTTGAGTCCCAGACCTGGAGCTTGAATATCACACCAGGCACGGCCAACCTCTTACAGGAGGAGAATAGAGGAGAAGGGATTGTGGCATGACTATTCCCCCTGGGGGGCGGATTTCTCCCTTTCCCTCTCACTGTGAGTACATGCACCCTATGGCAAGAACCTTAAAAGGAAAAAAAAAAAAAATCTGACCAAAGATGTCTGAAATGTTTCTAGCCCCTGAGATATGCATAGAAAATTAATTGAATAATGCTGTTCCCAAACATGGAAAAAGTGGAAGTGAGGTCAACACATACTCGACATTTTTTTGCATCCACTTCTCCAGTTGCTTGGTGATACGCTGCTGCTTCCATTCTGTCATGTTGGCAACGATCACACCTGGATTGAAAGAGCAGGTGCTGGGGCTGATGCCAAGGTCCTTTATAGCCTTCTTCCGGTAGTCCAGATAGCCCATGTACGTGTTCTAGAAAAGAACAGGGTAAGTGTGCTTTTGTTTCTGGAGAGTGGTCGTTCTCTGGAAGCCATTGTGCAATCCCCCTGCGTTTCCTCCTGTGTCACTGGCCACATCCTAGGTCCTTTGCAGGTCTCCCCCTCATTTCTCCAACCCCTAAATGCTGAGCGCCCCAAGTCTTCGGGCTAGCACCAGTGCCTTTCTCTAGCACAACTTCACAGCCTTACCCAGCCTCTTGGCCCTAAAAACCATCCCCAACGGCCCGGACCACTTCCGCTGGACCTCCAGCACCTACTGCCTCTGCTGACTCAGTGTCTCCACCCTGGAGTCCTAGGGAGCTCCAACCTAACATCCAAAACTTAGTCCCAGTCCTACCCCAAAAGTGCTTCCCTACAATCTGCCCCACCTCAGCTGATGGCAACGCAAGCCTTCTAGTTACTTGGGCAAAAAACACAGGGTCATTAGGTTATCTTTGACTCTTCTCTCTCTTACCTGGATCTGTGAGCAAATCCTCTTGATTTCGTCAAAACAGATCCAAAAGACAAATACTTCTCTTACCTCCACTGCCACCTTCCCGTTCCAGGCCCTCATTACCACCCACTGGACTTTGGCCAGCTCCTCCTAGTGTCCCTACATCCATCCTAATCAACCCTACTCTGTCTCACTGTCACTCGTCTCGAAGATCCTCCAGTGACCCTGTCTCGTTCAGAGTAAAAGCCAGAGTTCCTCAAGCGGCCGGCCGTCACTTGCATCGTCACTTGCATTGTCTGCCCAACCTCTTCTGTTCTCCTCCGGCTCCCTCCACCGCCCTGATCACCTTCACACGCCAGACAGCCCACCTCAAAGCTTGGCGCTTGCTACTGCCTTCTCCTGGACTGTCTTCTCCCTAAATATTTGCGTAGGTGGTTCTCTCCATTCTTTCAGGTGTTAGCTCAAAAACCACTATCTCTGTGGAGTCTTCCCTATTTAAAATATAACCTCGGGCCGGCAGGTGGCATGGTGGTTGAGGCACTGGACTCCCACATGGCCTATCATGGTTTGAGTCCCAGACCTGGTGGTGTGCTTTCTCACTTTCCTTTTCTCTCTCTCTGGTCAAAATAAAATAAAATAATTAAAAAAAAAATACAACCTCATTTCCGTCCTGATATTTTCTTTTTCTTTTCTTTCTTTTTTTTTTTTTTTTAAGAGGTTTTTGCCTTAGGGTACATGCGCTTGCCGGAGAGAGAGACAGACACAGTGAGAGGGAAGGTAAGAAATCACCCCTCAGGGAGGATGGTCATGCTCCGTTCTCCCAGGATCTTAGGCACGCACACACATGCGTGGGCATGAGTTTCAAGCCACTGGGGTGCGGTACTCTTTTTTTTTTTTTTTTGATAGGTTTTTTGATAGGTTTTTGCTATAGAGTGCATGTGCTCACCAGAAAGACAGATAGAAAACAAGAAATCATCCCCAAGGGGGATGGCCATGCCACAATCCCTTTTCCTCCATTCTCCTCTCGGGATCTTGGGCATGCGCGCACACGTGCCCGGCATGAATTTAATCCACCGGATCTGGATTCAAACTGCGGTCGACTACATGGGAGTTCAGCAACACAGCCATTACGCTAACTGCTCGTACCTCCATCCTGATTTTTGAACTACTTATTTACCATCTCTCTTCTCACCAGAACATAAGCTACACAGAGGCAAAAATTTTAGTTTTGTTTAATTACTGGTGCCCAAAACAGTATCCAGCCCCCAGTAAGCGCTCAGTAAGCAGTTGCTGAGTGAAGGTAGTACAAGACAGGGCATGCTCTCTCACCCACGTTGGCTGTCATAGTCTACCTGAATGTGATGTTCTCAAATGTGACCCAGGAGTCGTGGAAATACTTGGACACTTTCTATCTGTCAGGTCCTGCTCTAAGAATTTAACATGCAGGACCAGCAGATGGCATAATGATTACATCGCTGGACTCTCAGGTAATCAACCATGGTTCAAGTCCTGGACCTGGAGGCTTAAGCTCACACCGGGCGTGTGTGCCTGTGGGCCCAAGATCCTGGAAGGAGGGATTGCGGCTTGGTCATTTTCCCTGAGGGGTGATTTCTCACTTTCTGTCTCTGTCTCTCTGGAGAGCACAGACACCCGATAGCAAAAATCTCTCTAAAATGAAAAAAAAAAGACTTTACATACATTACCTTGTTAAAAGCATATACTAACTATACACATACTAATCTTATTCTCACACTAACTCTACAAGGGAAGTACTACTATTTAAAAATATATATATTTATTTATTTAACTTAATTTTATTTGTATGTATTATTTATTTTTCATTTTACCACAGAGAGAGAGAGAAAGAGAAAGTGAGAAACCAAGCCACCAGGTCCAGGACTCAAACCAAGGTCAGCCATGTGGGAGTCCAGCACCTCAACCACTACTCCACTTGCCAGATCCAGGAAGTATGACTATTACCTCTACTTGACAAACTGGAGAAAAACAACCGGCCAAGGCCATAAAGCTACAAAGTAATAACATAAAGATTTTCATGAAGTTGGGTCTGACTCTATTGTCTATACCCTACAGTGTCTTAGATATTATACATATACAGTTACTTGCTAGAACTATGTTTGAAATAAGCATTCAACTTTTTAAAAATATTTTTAATTTTATTTACTCATTTACTTATTTTATTTTGACCAGAGAGACACAGAGAGAGAGAGAGAGAGAAAGTAAGAAAGCAAGCCACCAGGTCCAGGACTTGAACCATAGTTGGCCATATAGGAATATCCAGCGCCTTTACCACCACACCATCTGCTGGTCCCTGCATTCAACTTAAAAAAAAAAACAAATTATTTATTTAATTTGTTTATCTTTTTTTTTTTCCCCCCCAATTTTACTAGAGAGAGAAAGAAAGTGCAAAAGCAAGCCTCTAGGTCTGGGACCTGAACCACAGTTGGCCATGTGGGAGTCTAGCACCTCAATCACTGGACCACCTGCCAGCCCCCAGCATTCAACTCCTAATAACACCTTGTATAGGGTCTGGCAGGTGGCATGGTAGTTAAGGGTGCTGGACTACCATGTGGTCAACTGCAGTTCAAGTCCTAGACCTGGCGGCTTGCTTTCTCTCTCTCTCTCTCCCTCTCGTCAAATTAAAATAAATAAATAAATAAATAAATAAATAAATAAAGTTAAATTTAAAAATTCTTAAAAACAAACTTTTATCAATATTTCAAAACTATCCTTTTATTTTCAACATTATACATAGGTTCTTTTTTATTTTAAAAAAGATTTATTTTATTTTATTCATTGTCCTTATTTTATTTTATTTTTTTGAAGTTGACCAGAGAGAGACAGAGACAGAGAAGGAAAATGAGAAAGCAAGCTGCCAGGACCGGGATTCAAACCACAGTCAGCCATGTGGGAGTCCAGCAGCCTTAACCACCACCTCACCTGCTGGCCTGTTACATATAAGTTCTTCCTCATTTCTACCAGAATAAGGAGCTCTTTACCCTTGAGCCAAACTATGGAAAGAAAGAAAAAAAAAAAGTGGTGGTCAAACTGAATTTAAGACCAGTTCCATGGCTTGGTAGTTAAGACTGGATCCCACATAGTCAACCATGGTTCAAATCCTGGGCCTAGCAATTTAAAATTCATGCCAGGCACATGTGACTAACCCAAATTCCAACAGGATGGAGAAACAGAGAAGGGATTGTGGCATGATCACACCCTCCGGGGGGGGGGGATGTTTTTGCTTCCTTCCTCTCTGTCTCTCTCTCTAGCAAGTAAACACTTGCTTTGGCAAATTACACAAACACACAGAAAGTCTCTGAAAATAGAACCAAAGGCTCAGTAAATCCCTTTTACAGACTCCATGACTCCAAACACCATCTCTGGCATGGAGTGTTGCTCTGAGCACCACAGACAACGGCTCTCATTTCCAGAGTGTTTACTCCACGCTGGACACTTGACATTGTGTTGTTTCGGTACAGCTTACAAAACCAACACAAAGTAGACATCACCACTGCCATGCTTTGGATAAGGGACTTTACAAGGTGAATGAAAGCAACTCACCCAGGGTCAGTAAGGAGTGTGTTAGGCTATGAATCCCAAGCCCCCAGAAGTGTTCTGCCGCCCAGGGTGGCCCTTAGCTTTTCAAGGTGTCCGCTCCACTCCTTCAGAGTTGCAGGGGCCAGAGGCCAGTGCAGTAGGACAGAAGTCGATGCTGAGACAGGGTGCCTACCTGCAGTCCCACAATTCTGTTCATATCCTGAGCCGAGGGCAAATCACAGTCGTCGGAGAAAGCTGCCGCGTGGCCCAGGGCCAAGGTGGTGTCATACAGTTCTTGGATGTCACCTGAATTTAGGAACACCAGCAGTTACAATAGTACAGCATTTGTCTGGGCTGGACAGAGCCTTGGGGATTAAGCAATTCCTAATTTTGCTATAGGAGAAATCCATAAGATTCCCAATTTCAAGTGGCTTAGTCATTATTTTAAGAGCTCATGCCAATTTGGAAAGTCACTGATGATAAATTCAGATTGGCATTGGTCAAATTTCTTTTTTGTTTTTGTAAGAGTTTTTTCCCTTAGCTTACTGGAGAGAGAGAGACACAGACAGAGACAGTGAGAGGGAAGGTGAGAAGTCACATACACACACCCCCTAGAGGGGATAGCCACAACTCCAGCCCTTCTCTTCCATCTTCCTGGGATCTGAGTACATATGCACACGCCCAGCATGAGTTTCAAGCCACCAGGTCTAGGACTCAAACTGCAGTCGGCCATGTGGAAGCCCAGCGATATAACGGCTACGCCATCTGCTGGCCCCTGCGTTGGTCAACTTCTTTCTTTTTTTTATATCAGTACCACAGACAGCAGTTGCTTATCCTAACTGCATGAGGTTTTTTTTTATATCAGTACCACAGACAGCAGTGCTTATCCTAACTGCATGAGGAGGAGATGGGACATTTAAACAGCCAACATAGCTCCCGCCTAAGAATATCATCAGAGAAATTTTATTTTCATATATTTTGGGGGCCAGCAGGTGGCATAATGGTCAAGGTGCTGGCCTCCCACGTAATCAACTGCAGTTCAAGTCCTAGACCCAACAGCTTGAAACTCACGCCAGGTACATGTGCGTGCATACCCCAAATCCCTAAAGAATGGAGGAGCAGGGATTGTGGAGTGATCATACACCCTGGGGGGGAGGAGTGGGGTGATTTCTTGCTTTCTGTCTGTCTCTCTGGCAAGTACACATGCCCTACAGCAAAAATGTCTCAGAAAAAAATAAATAAAATATTTCTATATATTTTAGGAACACAGAGAAAGAAACCACTACCAAGGTATTTATTGCAGACTTTGTTCATCAGAGTGGCCCTCAGAATGTCAACTGTCCATTGTGAGCAACTCTCCTCAGAACGTCCAGGAGCACATCAAACCCAGTTTTCAAAATACTCCCCTAATTTACAGCTCTGTACTCACAACTTTTTTTAAAGATATTTTTGCTATAGGGTGTGTGTGCTCACCAGAGAGAGACAGACAGACAGACAGACAGAAAGCAAGAACTCACCCTCCAGGGGGGATGACCATGCTGCAACTCATTCTCCATTCTCCTTAGGATTTGGGACATACATGCACATGCAATTGGCATGAGTCTTGACCCACTGAGTCTGGGACTCGAACCACAGTTGACCACTTAAGAATGCAGCACCTTAACCACTATGCTATCTACTGGCCCCACTCACAATTTTAATAAGTGGTCCTATCATTAGGCAACTAGCCATTTGCTAACAGCGGTAATCATAGAAGTAACCATTCTACTTATCAGCTCTCCTTTTTCCAGCGTCCTCGGCAGTCAGGAGTGTACCTTGTACAATTACATCATCGTCCAAATAGATGACTTTCTCGTGTTGGTGGATAAGCAGAGGGAGATAAAATCGAACAAAGTTCAGCTGTTAAAACAAAAGAAACCATGTGGGGAGGAGGAACGTGGGGTAATGTCATCTGGGGGTCGGGGAGCATTGGAGAGTCAGCCTTGGCGGTGGACTTAGCTCAGTTCCAGGTTGGGAACAGAACCCAGCAGTGGCTGCTCAGATGCCCACCAGAGTCACCAAGGGCCCGATTTGCCTGGGACCCAGGGCTGAGACTAGCGCTGGCACATCAGCGATTCTGCTGGATCCAAACTCGCTTGTGCTGAGGCTGTGGACACTCTCATCTCTGTGAACTACGGCAGTGGGGGCGGGGGTCACAGAGGCTCCCTCGTCAGTCTTTTAGGGCATGGACTGCTTGCCTTCCTCTACATTCAGTAATCTGGACAACTGTCAACTAAGTCAGCCTCAAAGACCACACACACACACACACACACACACACACACACACACACCCCACATCATCCCAACAAGCTCAACCTTTTAGCTTCTTGAACCTGAAAAAAGGGTCAGAGAGGTGCGACAGGTGGGTGGTAAATGACTTTAAAGCTTCACCAGTGACACTATTTAATGCGAGGTCCCAATTCAGGTGACACTCTGACAATGTCTGGAACTCGGGAAACATCACGTCAGAGTGCTCAGAACTTAGTGAATGTCCGAGGATGGATTTAAGGAACAATCATGAAGAAGGTGGTTGCAGTTTCGATCAAACCATCATCAGAAACACCATCCTCCATGCGGGAAAAGGTCCCTTCTGTATAAACTCTTGCAATAAAATACCTCAAGATTTCTAATGCTAGAGGGAAAGTTGGTATGTCCTGCAAACAGTATCTCAGTCAATACTGTGAAATATATTTGTTATTCCTTAGCCCCTGGAACACTCAGAGCTCCACTGAATATACAATCACAGTATGTACAACAGCCTGGAGGTTTGGGGTGTTTTTTCCTGACCTCACCGCGTGGCTCCCCACATCCCCTCCCCAGACACATTCACACACATAAATGTGCCCTGCAACATTAATGCTTCATTTCCTCAAAAGCTTCGTTATGATTATGCAAACCATCTTACTGGAGCAGGTGGCTTATAAATTATAAATAAGCAGAGCTTCGTGCACATAGAACAGCGAAGCTTCAGAAATACTCCTTGTGCTTCCTGCTGGCTGGTGCTTCAGAGTGGACAAGGGCCTCACTGTCCCCGGCACATGTGGGTTTCCTACTCACAGGCTGGAGCAGTTCAGGCCTCGCGGAGTCTGGTCTGATCTTCCCTTTGAGGACCACAGGGTTGAATTCCACGATTTTGAAGTTTATCTCTTTGAGTTTAGAATGTTCGATCCATTTTCTAAAGAGACAATTAAAAAACCTCTAGCATATTCTTCAAATCTTGCCTCCATTTGCCTAGTCTTAGGGTCAGTCTGGCGCCTCCTTAGAAAGTTAAAATATGTGTAGGTCCGGCCCGTGGCATGGTGGTTAAGGCAGTTGGATCCCACATGATCAACAGCACAGTTTGAGTCCCAGACTCTGTGGCTTGAGAAACACACTGAGCATGTCTGTGCCCATGTCCAAAATTCCAAGAAGGAGAAATGGAGACGGAACTGAGGCATGCCCATGCCCATGGAGGATGCTTTCTTGTTCCCCACCCCTCTCTCTCTCGTGAGTGCATGCATCCTCTGACAGAAAGAAAAATAAAGTGCATGTAAACTTAGAGTTTCGTCTATAAATCCTGATTTTCCCCACATCTGGTCTGGCTTCAAATCTTTCTCCCTCTCTCTCTCTCTCTTGTTTTCCTTCTCAATCACGTAACTCTTTCTGCAAAGGAAATGAAGCAAAATAGCAATAACCAAGTATCTCTCTCGAGCCAACTCATCTCCCCAGGAAACTGGAAGAACAAAAAGTGTGTGCTCTTTTCAGAAGGCCGCAGCTGAGGTTGCTGCACCGTTTTCGGCACGCAGCTCAGCTCTGAAATGATCAAATGATCGCAGCGGGATGTGCCACACGTGAACCTGGACTCAAGGCGTTTTCACTTTGTCACTTTGCCCCCAGGAATGGTTTCAATTTACCTTTGTCTCTGATTCTTTCTCAATCGTCCCCCTCTGTCCTCAGTTTCTGTCTTCTCCTCCTCCTTCCTCGGGCCCTGTCCCCTTGCATTTTCTATCTTTCAGAACTTTTATTTTTCATCCAATTCAAAACGAGATTCTTGGTGGAAATAATCTCACACTGAAATTGCCAATGAGTAAATCCAGATATGGTAGCATTTGCTGTTTATTAAAAATTCACCATGAAGGGATGGTGTAATGGTTATGTCGCTGGACTTTCACGTAGCCAACTGAGGTTCGAGTTTGAGACCCGGCAGCTTAAAACTCATGCTGGGTATCTGTACTTGTGTACCCAAAATCCTGAGAGGAGGACGGAGGAAAAGGGATTGTTGTGTGACCATCCCCCTGGGAATGATTTCTTGCTTTCTGTTTCTCTGTCTCTCTGGTGAGCACACA